AACCCCAACTGGGAATGTGCCCGCAACCAAGGTACATGCCCCTGGCCGGAATCGAACCCGGGACCCCTCAGTCCGCAGGCTGACGCTCTATCCACTAAGCCAAACTGGTTAGGGCAAATAGCCTTTATTATATTGAGTATGAGCCCTCTATTTGAACTCCCAGTTGAGGGGACCATTTGCCTATTAGGCTTTTATTATATAAGATTAGGTTTGGATAATGAACATTAGGTAAGCTGGATAGCTTTATTTCAAAGTGTAATGAGATAGTTGGAGGCTGGATGTATATTGATTCAAGCCTGGGAAGGTGAATAACTTAAGTCCCTAGGATATTTACAGTAACAATAGAATAATTTCTCATGATTCAATACTATTTTAGTAATGTAACAGATTGATTACAGTGAACCCATTTTATTTCTTCATTATTACATAGTAATTATATTACAATACATAGTATATTTTATATCTTGTACACCTTAAACATACACATTATAAAAGTATCATTTTAATTTGAAAAATAAAACGGGGAAATTAAAGAAGAAAACATAGTAACAAACATCTTACACATTATGTGTCTTGCCCTTCATCAGTATTCCAAGTTTAGCTGAGCAATTTTAGGTAAGAAGTTAGAGCTGATGAATCAGCAACTTCTAGAAACTGCTAGATAGGAATGTTACAAAGCAGTCGCAAGTGGTAGTAATTCATACTCTCTTCAACACGGACGCCAAAACTTAATGTATTCCATCGTTGACACGGCTTTTTATTTTCCCCCAGCTCCGCCTCTCGGTTGTTTTCCAAGGATTTATTTACTTTATCTTTAGACCGTCACCCCATTACCACGCTAGCATCTCTTGCTTTAACAAGCGTCAGTCACTCTGGTACGCAGGCGCAGTAGATGGGGAAGATGGGAGGAAGGGGAAGGAAGCGAGGAGAGGAGGCGGGCCCAAGTGAAGGCGCGGAAAAACTACGTCAGCGGCTGCGGAGCCATTTGCTTATATAGGAGCGTGGTTGTCTTGTGATCGCTGTGGAATTCAGTTGCAACACTTCCTTGACGTCTGTGATTGTTTCGTCTTGTGTGCCTCTTGGAGGAGTCGCCGTTGCGCAGGCACCATCAGATCCCAACCGCCCGGAAGCCGGCACCATCATGCCCAAGAATAAAGGTAGTTCGTTGGTACCACGGTCTGTTCAGTCCAGTAGTTTCAGCCGTGGTTCGGGACCAAACCGCATTTACCAGTCTTCCTTTCCTTTTGCGGCTGGGCGATCCGGGCGTTCTGGGTTCGGGAGAGGAGCTGGGAAGTTTAGTCACATTGGGTTGGAGCCGACGCCATTTTTCTAGGGATTCCAGGGAATCCGTTACAGGGATTCCTGAGACCTGGTCCTTCAGGCCTTCCCAAGACTTCTGAATCAGTTTTTAGCTTTCAAGGATTAATTCCTGCTTCACTGGTTTCTTTATGGGCAGTTAACTGTTGTTGAAAATACTTCCCCTTAACAGTATGCGAATTCTTGACACATGCTTAGCTTCATCTTTGGAGATTCACTTTCCTCCAGCCATTCACAGAGTTTAACATTCTTTTCTAAAAGATGTGTTAAATATTTAGCAGAGTTTTCAGCCTTCGTTTCTAGTAACATTGTCGCGTAAAGATTTCTATCTGCTCTTTTATTTCACTAAGGCAAACCGTTCACAAAGCGTCATAATTGAGAACAAATTTACTCAGTACTTCCAAAATTAGACTCCTCGCGTGTAAAGCAGAACACTTGCACACTAATTTTTGAAAGAAATTCTGCAACTTGTTACAGACCAGAGATGTTCTAATACTTTAAATGGCCTTACAATATCTCCAGAAAAACGCGACTATACAAACCTGAGAATGTATTTTTCATAAGAAACGGCCTTTTTTCACAGCCTACAAGAAATATTTAATAATTCATTCTTAGATTCCAGACCTACCTATGTTCTCCTTTCTGCTTCACAGGTGGCTCCAGGGATTCTTCATTTCCTCTTTGTACATGTCACCACTTATTCCTAGCGGTTCTTGGTCCCAGTTCCATGCATTCAGTGCAATGTTGTCTGGGTCCCCCAAATCAATTGTCTAAATCATTTTTGTACCAATGGTTTACTGTTAATTTCTGGGAGAGACAGAGTATTTTGCTAACTACATGATAGAAAATGCTGATAGCTTTCTGCTAGTCTCTAAAATTGAAGATTAACTCACAGGTGATAACTAGATCACTTTAAAAGGGGTCTTACCTTTATTTCTAGTGATGAGATTTTCAAGTATATAACTCACTAACCTGTATACTCTAAAATGAATAGTCCTGATTAGGGACATTGAGTTACTAAAAATTGGCACTTAGTAGCTGACTAATGTTGATGCTATTTCTCTGTACAAATCCACCTTTAGACAAATAAGTTTTCCCTTGGTTCTTTAGGACTTTTAAACTAAATTCCTAAGAAAGGTATTTGATTTGTTTAGGGAAGATTGTGAATTTTGGTTTAGTTTACTTTTAAGAAGAGGACAAAATAAAATATTAGAATACACAATTAATATGATCTGTTCCAATCTTTTTCAAGAGATTTTAAAGTATATTCTATTACATGGTGTTGTTACATGTATTTAAAAATTGCCACTCCTTTAGAAATGGATGAAACACTTTTTGGCTTGCTCTTTTGAAAAAATGGCAAATGCTTGTATATATATGTTTTAGTATGCAAAGCAGTTATAATCCTTGCCCTAATGGATCCTAGGCTTTCCCTTCTAGGAAATCAGGTTAAATGTATCCTAATGCATAAGATAGTGAATATCGATGTATTGAGAACTTGGGGAGATTCACATCCCCTTTTTTAAAAATGTACTTTATTGATTTTTTACAGAGAGGAAGGGAGAGGGTTAGAGAGTTAAAAACATCAATGAGAGAGAAACATCGATCAGCTGCCTCCTGCACACTTCCTACTAGGTATGTGCCCGCAAACAAGGTACATGCCCTTGACAAGAATCGAACCTGAGACCCTTGAGTTCGCAGGCCAATGCTCTATCCACTGATCCAAACTGGTTAGGGCAGTCCACATCCCTTTTACTACATCACAGAGATTGCTCCAGAAAGGACGGTCCTAGAAAATACATTCAAGAACATGTATGCTGTCTTTACTGTGGCCAGTTGCACATTTTAAATTGTGCTTGGGATGTGAACTTTTTGCTTTGAACTCTTCCCAGGAATCCCTGTAATTACCTCTTATAGCTTCTCTTTCACCTATTGTAAATGACCACTTTGTGGTTTAGTTCCTGTAATAGGAATAAGATGCTATGGAGAAGAGCCCTAGTTCCTTGATTATTCGGTAGAAAATCTTACAGTGAAATAAAATTATAACCATCCAAATATGTTCAACTATAATAAAAGCAAACATTGAAAATTTTTAAGTATTTTATATCTTAGCATGGTGGTTAAAGCAGAGGACTAAATAATATTTCTTCTTTGATGATGGGAATGAAAATTAGTATAGCTCATCAAAAGATGATGGAAGTGAAAACATAACCTTTAACCCAGAAATTCTATGTAAATTTATGCTTTGGATGTTTTTTTTTTTTTGTGGAATAATCTTCAATTCAGCATTCAATTCAACAATGAAACATTAGAAATAACCAAAAGAAGGGATTAAATATACTTTAACCATTGAACTATCCATTGCAGTTTGTGGTTATTGACATCAAAACACATTTAGCACAAATTATTTAGTGGATTATAAGAGTTCTATTTTCATTTGGAAAGCATAGGTCATAAGATGTTAATAGTTTTCTCTGATAATGGAACTTTTACTCTGCTTATTTATGTTTATATAAGACATACTTTTATGTCCAAAAAATTCAAATACAAATGTTGAAAAGGATAGGGGGTTAATATAGTTTAATCTGGTAAAAGACAACAGGGAACCTTTGGCACATTAAAATGTAACTGATTAGGAAACTAAATAAAATTAATTCTTAAAAATCTTACTTAGAGTTCTGTTAGTGTTATACTGTGATTTAAATGATGATATATTTTTTCTCTCAGTGATTTTGTAAAGCTTATGGGCCTTATTCTAGCTTGTTTCATAATAATGTAAAATATACATTAATACATTTGACTTTTTTTATTCACTTTTTTACTCAATTAGGTAAAGGAGGTAAAAACAGGCGTAGAGGTAAGAATGAGAATGAATCTGAAAAAAGAGAATTGGTCTTTAAAGAGGATGGCCAAGGTAAGTTTTTTAAAAATTATTAACATTTTTATTTTCAGTGTGAATTTTAGTCTTTAACATCAAATGGATCAAATGCATAATCTTAAGTAGTTATTCCAATGTCTCTACTTTGCTTTTCCTCATTTGTAATCCTTTTTACTTCTTCAGAATTTGTTAAATAATTGGTTATATACTAGGTCTAGGTAGAAGATTAATTGGTGGCATTTTTTGTAACTATAGTTTCCTTTGTTTTGTGAGGAAGAGCATGATCTGACAGTGAATTTTAATTTTAGGGATGAGAGCAAATTAAATCTGTATGCTATCATTGAAAATTTCATACTCTAGTATGGTGGTAATGAGTAATGTTATATATTATTCAATAGACCGTGGTTATTTGTGACCATGGTAATTCGTTATTAGTTCTCTAATGCCAATAGTATATCCTATATAATAAAAGAGAAACATGCAAAATAACTGTTCCTCCGATAAACTCAAGCTATACCCACAAGCCAATCGGGAGTGAGTATGCAAATTAACCCAACTAAGATGGCGGAAGCCATTGAGATGGAGCGAGTAGGAGGCTTGGAGTAGGGCAGGCGAAGGAGGAAGCCAAGCTTCTTGCCTGCCCTGGCTGGCCCCGGGCTATGCTAGAAGCTACAAAGTTTCAATTATAGAAAATAAATAAATCCCAGAAAAAAAGGAGAGGCTCAGAGCTAGGGTTGCTGGGGGGCGTGGCCAGCCTGAAAATGGCCCTCAGCCCCTCACCCAGGCTGGCCAAATCCCCAAAGGATGAGGGTCCCCACTGGGGGGCTTGGCCAGCCTGCAGACAGCCATCCGCCCCTCACCCAGGCTGGCCAAATCCCCAAAGGATGAGGGTCCCCACTGGGGGGCTTGGCCAGCCTGCAGACAGCCATCCGCCCCTCACCCAGGCTGGCCAAATCCCCAAAGGATGAGGGTCCCCACTGGGGGGCTTGGCCAGCCTGCAGACAGCCATCCGCCCCTCACCCAGGCTGGCCAAATCCCCAAAGGATGAGGGTCCCCACTGGGGGGCTTGGCCAGCCTGCAGACAGCCATCCGCCCCTCACCCAGGCTGGCCAAATCCCCAAAGGATGAGGGTCCCCACTGGGGGGCTTGGCCAGCCTGCAGACAGCCATCCGCCCCTCACCCAGGCTGGCCAAATCCCCAAAGGATGAGGGTCCCCACTGGGGGGCTTGGCCAGCCTGCAGACAGCCATCCGCCCCTCACCCAGGCTGGCCAGGCACCCCAGCGGGACCTCCACCCTGATCTGGGACACCCTTCAGGGCAGACCAGCTGGCCCCACCCATGCACCAGGTATCTGTCCTATATAATAAAAGGGTAATATACAAATTGACCCTAACAGCAGAACGATCGAGAATGATTGGTCACTATAACACACACTGACCCGCAGGGGGCTATGACACACATTGACCACCAGAGGGCAGACGCTCAATGCAGGAGCTGCTCCCTGGTGGTCAGTGCACTCCCACAGGGGGAGCTCTGCTCAGCCACAAGTCAGGCTGATGGCTGACAGCACAGCGGTGGTGGGACAGCACAGCGGTGGTGGCGGGAGCCTCTCCCTCCTCCTCAGCAACGCTAAGGATGTCCGACTGCAGCTTTGGCCTGCTCCCCGCTGGCAAGTGGACATGCCCCAAGTTGCTCCCGGGCTGCCAGAAGGATGTCTAACTGCCAGCTTAGGCCTTATCCCCTGGGGATTGGGCCTAAGCCAGCAGGTGGAGATCCCCCAAGGGATCCCAGACTGCGAGGGCACAGGATGGGTTGAGGGACCTCTCCCCCCCCCCCAAGTGCACAAATTTTTGTTCACCGGGCCTCTAGTCTACACTAATAAAAGACAAACATGCAAATTGATGGTTCCTTTGCTATGCCTTAAGCCACGCCCACCAGCCATTCTGAGTGATTATATGCAAATTAACCCAACCAAGATGGCAGCCAGCAGCCATGGAGGTGGAGCAAGCAGGCAGCTTGATTGCCCCAGTGATGGAGGAAGCCAAGCTTCCTGCCTGCTGCAGCCGGCTCTGAGCTCCACTCAAGGCTACAAAGTTTCAGTTATAGAAGATAAATAAACTCCAGAATAAAAAGAAAAAAAGGAGAGGTTGGAAGCTTCCATTGCCATGGGCTTGGCCAGCCTGAGATGAGCCCTCAGACCCTCACCTAGACTGGCCAGGCACCTCAGTGGGTACCCCTCTTCCTAAGGGAGTGTGGCCAGTCTGAAAACAGCTATCAGCCCCTCACCCAGGCTGCCCAAACCTCCATAGGGTAAGGATCCCCACTGAGGGGGGCTTGACCAGCCTGCAAACAGCCATCAGCCCCTCACCCAAGCTGGCCAGGAACCCAGTGGGGACCCCCACTCTGAAGGTGGTGTGACCACCCTGCAAACAGCCATCAGCCTCTCACCCAGGCTGGCCAGGCACCCCAGCGGGACCTCCACCCTGATCTGGGACACCCTTCAGGGCAAAACAGCTGGCCCACACCCGTGCACTAGGTCTCTATCCTATAAAATAAAAGGGTAACATGCAAATGGATCCTAACAGCAGAATGGGAATGACTGGTCTCTATGACACACACTGACCACTAGGGTGCAGATGCTCAATGCAGGAGCTGTCTCCTGGTGGTCAGTGTGCTCCACAGGGGGAGCTCTATTCAGCCACAAGCCAGGAAGATGGCAGCCAGCACGGTGGCGGTGGTGGTGGGAGCCTCCCCCGCCTCCTCAGGAACACTAAGGATGTCCAACTGCAGCTTAGGTCTGCTTCCTGCTGGTAAGTGGACATCCCCCGAGGACTGCCTGGCTGGTCACCCCAGAGGGATGTCTGTCTGCCAGCTTGGGCCTGATCTCCCAGGTAGCGGGCCTAAGCCAACAGGTGGACATCTTCCGAGGGGTCCCAGACTGCAAGAGGGCAAAGGGACCCTCCCGAGTGCATAAATTTTTGTGCACCAGGCCTCTAGTAATGTTATAATTGACAATACTATTGGATTAAAACTGTATTCCAAGATACAAAAAAATTAAGATAATAAATTGGAGCATTTGGTTTTTCCATTTAAAAAAAATGTTAAACTAACAGAAGTCTATACTAATAAAAGGGTAATATGCTAACTATGGCAGACTTCTTCTGGACATCCTTCCAAACAAAGCCTCAGCTGCTTGCCTGAGGCTTAGGCCGGCCAAGGATAGCGGTTGCTGTTGATAGGGCCAAGGCTCAGTAAACAAAAGCTTATAACTAATCTATAAGCTGCTGCTGCCAGGGCTGGTCCAAGGCTCAGGCAGGCTATGGATGGCGGCTGCCACTGCAAGGGCCTGAGGCTCAGACAATGAGGGCCAGATCAAGGGTTAGGCAAGCCATGGTAGCTGGCAGTGGCTGCAGCAGTGGCATGATAAGGGCATGGCCTTCCCCTGATGGTTTGGTTGCCTCCTGCAGAGGGAGGCCAGTCTACAGTTTAGGCCTGCTCTCCATGGGGCAACCCCTCAGGGGGCAGGCCAAGCGGAGCCCCCCCCCCCCCCACCGAGGGCACGAATTTTCGTGCACCGGGCCTCTAGTGTCATAATATGAGTCCATAAATTTCCACCTAATTTTTATCCAGATGTATTTTTATTGGTTTCAGAGAGGAAGGAGAGAGAGATAGAAATATCAGTGATGAGAGAGAATCATTTGATTGGCTGCCTCCTGCATGTCCCCCCCACCCCCCACTGGGGATCAAACCCACAAACCCAGGCATGTGTCCTTGACCGGAATTGAGCCCAGGACCTTTCACTTTGCAGACTGATGCTCTATCCACTGAGCCAAACTGGCCAGGACCCATGCTTTCTAATTCTCATGTATTATCAATCTTTTCTTGGGGTACTGGAATTAGTTGGCCTCTTGAGTATACTGGGAATATTTCAGTTAAATATTTGACATTTTATCAGGAACATTTTTTAAAGAACCTTAATTGCTATGGTATTCTAAAGTAAACAAAAGCTTATAACTAATCTATTTTGCCCCTAAAGTTTTTGAGTGAAAGAAGAGCCGTGATTGAGCTGGTATCTAAATGAGAAAGATGAATAAACCAGAATTATATGATACACTCTGGAATGAGTTACTTTGTTGTATAAAAGGAGAGCATATAATCATGAAGACAGGAGTGAACTGATTTACTTAAAAAAGTAGATAATTAAAATATTTCTGATAAGAGAGGGCTTGTAATGGAAATTCCACTTAGGCCAAATCATTGATTTTTGTAGACTTTTATTTACTTTGAAAGGGGGGAGTAAATAGTATAGCTGGAAAAGGCTATATAATTTTTTTTTAAGTGGCTTAAACATCCATTTATTATTCCACAGTTTCTATAGATAAGAAGTCTGGGCAGGACTAAACTGGTTTCTCTGCTCAAGGTGTCTCAAAGTTGAAATTAGGATGCCATCCAGGTTTCCTTCTTGGTGCCTGAGATCCTTTTCTAACTTCACTATATATATATATATTTTTTTTTCATTCTTTTTTATTGATGAGTATATTCTATTTTTTTCCAAATTATTTTTATTATTGTTTAAAATTTTACATATGTCTTCTTTTCCCCAATTGCTTCAGTGTCTTGTATCCATTGGTTATGCTAATATGCATGCATACAAGTCCTTTGGTTGCTCTCTAATGCCCCCTCTCTCCTGCCAGTTATCTGGATCTATTCTTGTTCTTTGGTTTATGTCATTGATGGCAAACCTATGACACGTGTGTCAGAGGTGACATGCAAACTCATTTTTTTGGTTGATTTTTCTTTGTTAAATGGCATTTAAATATAAAATATCAAAAATATAAATCTTTGTTTTACTATGGTTGCAAATATCAAAAAACTTCTATATGTGACACAGCACCAGAGTTAAGTTATGGTTTTTCAAAATGCTGACACATTGTGCTGCTATTAACATAAGGGTGCATATATCCTTTCTGATTGGTACTTCTGGTTTCTTGGGATATAGTTTTAGAAGTGGAATTACGGGGTCAAATGGGAATTCCATTTTTAACTTTTTGAGGAAATTCCATACTGTTCTCCAAAGTGGCTGCACCAGTCTGCATTCCCACCAGCAATGCGCGAGAGTTCCTTTTTCTCCACATCCTTGCCAGCACCTGTCGTTTGTTGATTTGTTGATGATAGCCATTCTGACAATGTGAGGAGAGCATATAATCATGAACTGATTTACTTAAAATAAGTAGATAATTAAAATATTACCACTATTACCACCAAACCAGCAATGCAAGAAATGCTAAAGGGTCTAACTTCACATTTTTATTGACTAAGTTCAATTCCCTGTGGTTGGACAAATAACACTTTTGTTCTCTTGCTTGCTAGCTTGTAGACTGATAACAATCGTAGCATAGCTCATTCCATAGCCTTTCATATTTCTAATTTTGTGACTCCAAACCCCCCTCCACTTTTATATAATGTAACATAGACATGGAAGTGTCTACCCCATCACCATTTACCATGTGACACAACCTATCATAACCTATTTAAGGATATGACTAGCCCATTATATTAAAAAGTTGCATCTCCTCGTAAGTGTAGGAGATTATACTAAGCATGTACACCACGTGATAGAACCTTAGAAGTCATCTGAGAATTCTACCATAACATGACAATAGAATTCAGAATTGAAAACCCTCAAATTCAAGGACTTTAAAGAATTAAAGTTCTTTAAAAATTATTAAAGAATGTGATGGTTTTCTTTTCATTTTTTTTTATTAAAACATGTGTCTCCTTGAAAAAGTTCTCCTAGGGTAAAATACGCATTTTGCTTATCAATTTTTACCTTTTAAAAAAATAGTTTGACCTGAATTGAGTAGTAGTAAAAATGAAGTTATCAACTATGTTAATTTCACTTATTAACATTTTAAGAAAAATTAAATAGTATCTCATATTCTCTTTTTTTTACCCACCTCAGAGTATGCTCAGGTAATCAAAATGTTGGGAAATGGACGATTAGAAGCAATGTGTTTTGATGGTGTAAAGAGGTTATGTCATATCAGAGGAAAACTGAGAAAAAAGGTAGGTGTAGAGGTTTGTTTTACTTTAAGAGTGGTTCTGTTTTATATGGGCCAATCAACTCATTTTTCTAAGTTTCCAAAGATGATCCTAATAACAGTGATTTATAAGACAATGTAAAATAAGGTCTTTGATGGGAATTTTCATAATCAATATATACAAAAGCCAAGCAACCGGTCACCATCATGCGCACTGTGGCTGGCCAACTGGCTCAGTGGGATCAGGGCCAGCCAGCCAATATCCCACGGCCACTCCCCCCTGCAGGTTGGCCCCAGATCAGCCCCAATAGGGCTGGCTGGCTGGACCCCACCCAGGCATGAATTCATGCACTGGGCCTCAAGTAGAAAAGTATATTACAAAGAATTATTTGCTTCATCTGTGTTGTAGTTCTCCTAGAAAGATTGCTCTGAATATAATATTGAGGAAACAATGAGACAAATCCTACAAAATAGCTCTTGCCCTGGCTGGTGTTAAGCGTTTAGAGCATCTGCCCACATACTGAGGGGTCACGGGTTTGATTCCTAGTCACAGAAACATTCCTGGATTACAGGTTCACTCCTTGCCTCCACTCAGCATGTGTGGAAGGTAACCAGTGGATTGACTCTCACACATTGATGTTTCTTTCTGTGTCTCTCCCTCCTTCTCACCCTTATTATTCTCTTTGAAAAACAATGGAAAAAATATCAGGTGAAGATTAACACAAAACACAACACTTTAAAAAAGTGGACTCATAAATAAATTATGCCATGAAATCTATATCTACACTAATAAAAGAGAAAAATGCAAATTAACCATCACTCTGTCACTCCACTACACCCACCAGCCATGCCCACCAGCCAATCAGGAGCAAGAATGCAAATTAACCCAAGATGGTGGCAGCCATGGAGCTGGAGCGAGCAGGAGGCTTGGGTTGCCCTGGTGATGGAGGAATCCAAGCTTCCCTCCTGCCCTGGCTAGCTCTGGCGTCCGCTCAGGGCTACAAAGTTTCAATTATAGAACATAAATAAATCCCAGAAAAAAGCAAAAAAGGAGAGGCTGGGAGCTTGGGTCACTGGGGGTGTGTAGCCAGCCTGAAAATGGCCATAAGCACCTCACCCAGGCTGCCCATATGCCCATGGGGTAGGGGGCTTGACTAGCCTGCAAATAGCCATCAACCCCTCACCCAGGGTGGCCAGGCACCCCAGTGGGGACCCCCATCCTGAAGGGGGTGTGGCCAGCCTGAAAATGGCCCTCAGCCCCTCACCTGGCTGGCCAGGCCCCCCAGCAGGACCCCCACCCTGATCCAGAACACCCTTCAGGGCAAACCAGCTGGATCCCACCCATGAACCAGGTCTCTAATCTA